TCATTCCCGAAAGACATATTACCGCTTTCAGCATTCATTTCGGTATCAAAGCAAACAAAAAAAAAAAAGGAAACGAAAAGGAAACATGAAAAGTAAACGAATGAGCTGAAGAGAAGAAATGCGATAATTGAAGTTCTGATTTTTATTTGCAATTTTCCTTTTTTAGCACTTACATACAAGTGGAAAGGGATTTTTCGCTTTTAAGGCTACTCGCACCTGTGCAAGTGTGAAAAATTTAATTTTATTAAAGCGTTCCATATGTTGTATTAAGACCTGAACGTCGATAAATTTATCTCAATACTGTCGATAAAAATCGATAATTACACAGAAAAATCATGTAAAATATCGATATGTATAAGTTAAAATATCGATAAGTATTAAAAAGGGTATCGATATATTTATCTTAAGACTGTCGACTTATAGATAAAACTAATGCAAAAATATCGATAAGTATCCAAAAAGTGTATAGATAAATTTATCGTTATGTTGCCGACAATAAAATCGATAAGTATACATAAAGCATATATGTAAAAAATATATAATAAGTATTTCACTCTGTGTGGAAAGTCATTCGTGTCGAACTTGTGGGCAAGAAGTATAAGGAAGTCAGCGGGGTTAGCATCAGAGTGTCCAGATTGGGCGATTTAGCGCCAATTTGGCGATTTATTATGGATATTTCGCGTACAAATTTAGTATTTTTGGGCAATTTGTGTTGTTTATTATTACCCTGAATGGATTATATTCGTTTTTTGTTTTTAAAACATTTTATAACAAGATCTCAGTTTTAAAATAAAAGATCTGTTAAGTCGATTTCATGAATTTTATTAAAACAAAAATTAGATCGATTCTCGGCGATTGTTTTTTCACAAATTGCGTTTTTGTTAAACAATTTGGGAATCGAGGGGTTGTTTTTGACGTTTCGCTTTTATTGAATTCATATTTTCGTAGTTTTACTTTGAGTTCGCGATTCGCTCTGATTTGATCATTGTAAAAAACACAAGAAACGCAACCAAAAAAAAAAAAAAGTCATCGTATAAATGCACGAAGATTTTCGAAGACTTTTTCAAAAGAGAATGTACAAAAAACGAAAGGTGAAAAGTCGTCGTGTGAATTGGCTGTATGGTTCATTAGTTTATAGTTTATTGAACTTACACCAGGTTTCGTTAGGCGGACAGCTCTGAAAAGAGCGGATTGGGTGTCCTCAGAGGACCATTGCGATGCCGAGAGAGTTTCCCCATGCATTTGTCTACACATTTTTAAACTATTCTGATGCTATAACGAATCCTAGCAGTCCCCCTAATAGAGTTTTCCCTAAGCTCTATCTAGGCTGCCGAAGAAGTCGTCCGATAGAAATTTTGAAGCGCTTAATCCGGAGTGCAGCGCACTCGCAAAGGAAGTGCTGGATAGATTCTATCTGCTCTTCATCTCTGCAGCTTCTGCAAAAATTGTTATACGTTCATCTAATCCTATCTCAGAACCCTTTTTAACGGGCCCATGCCCTCCTCATTTCGCGGAATGTCACTATGTCACGGGACGCAGTAAAAATTGATTATGTGCTGTATGTGCTAAGTCTTTGATTGTAGCTGGACTGTTAACCACGAAGGCTAGTTTATTTCAATTCCTTTATATCTCAGCCTGGAAAATGCTACGACGGTTATCTGGGAGCCTATATGTATGACTCGTTCGGAGCCTCCCACCATATCAGCGCGTCATAAATGAAAATAGGTCTAACTGCCGCCATATAAATCCAGTATCTTATCTACGGACATATCTGCCAGTCCTTTGCCATCGTAGTTTTACAGGAGTACAGCGCATTGAGCGCCTTTCTTCACCGCTCTTCGGTGTTCCTTTTCCAGGAGAGTTTCAGCCGCAAAAACTTTGCCTCTTTTGGCAATTTAGAAAGTGATACTAACCTATACTGGTTTATAACTGACATATTTGATTGCGCATTATGCGTATTAGTTCAGAAGGGTAATAGTGTTCGTGGTAATCTTCAGAAATTTCAATTGAAGCCATGGAATTCGCATTATTTAGCCCCTATTGATTTTTTGCTTGTGTCGAGGGTAATCTGGTCAAATATTGGCATATCGCAATAGCGAGATTTAATTAATACAGGCATATGTATATAAGCTTTCATACTTATATATACATCAATATATGCACATACACGTACATGTATATATGTATGTACATGCAATTCTGTGCTGCGTTTATAACAGAGAAGGTAGTTAAATTTTATGAATTGCAATAAAATCAGAGTCCATTCAACGCTAATCATGGCGCCGATTTCATTGGAATTGATTAAATTGATTACGAATTTACGAATGGAATGCATACATACTAGATGGCTGCATGAATTCATTCAAACTTCTAGCCATACAGAGTACAGTAGATTTGAATATTTTACTTCACATACAAAACACTCAGCATTTGGAATTTTGTAAGTTAAAGTTTCGGTTAAAGTTTTTTCTACAAACAAATTTGTACGTATTACAATAAGTGCGCAGCAATACATACATACATATCGTCACCTGAAATTAAAAATGAAGTAACAAACATCGTCGCTGAAATGCAAAAATTCGTAACTAATAAAAAATTCAAAATTCAGTTTTTGATTGATATGATGGATTTCATCGAATTAAAACTCCCACATCATTTAATGAAAAAAATTAAATAAATAAAAAATGTTTGTCACGACTTTTTCCATTNTCACATCATTCAATGAAAAAAATTAAATAAATAAAAAATGTTTGTCACGACTTTTTCCATTTTAGTTACAATGTTGTTACAGTCTTTTTGCATTTCAGGTGACGATATGTACATAGAAAAAACATTTTTGGATATCCATACAAAAAATTGTCATTTATTTCAATTCAATTTATTTTCACTTTGTTTGAATATTGTATTGTCGACACATACTATGTATATCAGAACAGGTATTCACTGAAATTCAAAAAAATTTGAAGCTGAAATCATTCATTCGTTTTGTATATGAATGATTCACAAGCCGTTTTGAATGAATTCATGCAGCCCTCTATTACATACCTACATATGTACATATTTAAGCACATACAGACTTGAAAGTGTCCGAAAGAAAAAAACGTGTCAGATTTCTTAGCATTTACCGATTGCCACACAAATTTATATATGTATATACATACATTAGGGTAATCCGAAAATACAAGCGAGGGGAAAAAAGTTTAAATTGTTAAAATGTTAACCCTATGATTTTTCTAAATGAAAAAAAGAATACCCGTATCTTTTGTAAAAAAAAGTGATGTTTAGATCTGTCCAAAGCCTATGAAGCTTTCCATGTATTTTAAATGGGGAAAAACACTTTTTCGTTGAAACAAAATTCTTGAAAACGAATATTTTTCGATCGGAAAACTCTATTTCTCTTTAGGAAACTTCCAATAACAATATCTACCAAAAAAATTATCGAACATTATTTTATATGGAGAAAATGAGCGACACCTGCAACAAAAAAATTGCACTTTGGCCCTGTGCCAATCGGTAACTTTTTTCTCCGTGGTGAGACGGGGTAGAAAAATTTGCTATGGTGTACAAATAAATTGAATTTTGCTGTGCCAAATGCAGAGTAAAATTTTGACAGTTGAAAAACCAAACAAACGCTCGTGCGAAAGCTTTATTTTTGTGTGTTGCTGAAATTCTTAAAATTTATATTTATTTTATAATTTGCAAGTAACGTACGCTTTTTTTATGCTGTTTCAGCTTTCATTTTCATGTTCACTCCTTATTACCGCCAAGCAATATTATGTGTATACATGGTTATAAGCTGTCAAAATTTTACCTAGCCCCATGAGCTAGGTAAAATTCTGACGTTCTTATTCACCACGAGAAATGTCAGATTTTTACTTTGATCCGTCAAAATTTTCTCTTTTCTATCATTTGGCACAGGCTCTTTGTTATACCAAAATTGAATGGGCTAAAAAATTGCGTACTCAAATTGTTTCTATAAAGTGTAAATAAAAAGTGCAATGTTTGGATGAAAATTTGCGGAATTCTCTTTACACTGAGAAAAAACGTTCCTTAATGCTAGGAAAAAAAAGTTTGTTATTCTAAGGAAATATTACCTTGAAGTGACTACAATGACATGGCTGCCTTAATATGAGTATGAAAGGAATAATTAAGTATGTCATTTTGCTCGTGGCGCTCAAACAGTGGCAATGGCCGACA